CAGGCGAACCATGCTGCTGCCACTTCTAAATGCTTCGTAAACTACCAGAGTTTCACGTTAAAAATGTGCTACTTCTTAATTTTTTGTTAGAATGATAATCCAGAACTCTACTATCATGATTTTTAAACCTAAAATGCAATGCCATTAATTTATACATATTTTTCTTTTGTAACTTGTTTTTCTACCTTCAAAGGTTCTTTGGTACTTGTTTCTCAATGCATTCAACAGATGTCACATCAAGAGATGACGTTCTTTTTCAGTGTTTATTTTGCTAAGGTCAGCAAAGCCAGCTCTCCCTTCTTTTTCTTCGTTATTCGAGTCTCCTCCTTTACTCCCATTTAAGCCTAATTCTTTTTTTTTAATACGCAGGACCACAGAATGGCACACATGGTATTCCAGACGAACCAGTGAGTTATCCACTAGCATTACTAGATCTCGTGGAAACAGCTTGTCAAAAGTATTCTAGAGTTGCCTTTACCTTTTAATGGCAACACGATAGGAGCAGCTCCTAATCACTGAATGAGCAACTAGTAGATGTAGATCTTTCTGATCCTTAATAAGCTTTGACTAATGAGCTCCCATGATATGTAGCCCCATGAGCTCCATGGGGAGAAATTCTGCTTATACATTACTAGTTATTTAACCTTATGCCTTCACGATTATATTTCATCAAATTTTTATTGCTGCAATCACCCTGGTCACCTGGCTCTTTCTGGAAAATACCCCATTTCTCTTGCGTACCGACAATACTTTTAACACTGTGTCACCTGCAAACTTCCCCACAGTACCTTACCTCTCAAAGGCACTAACTTTACATCTAATTAGTGTATCAACTGATGCATCAACATTAAACCAGAACAAATGCATGACACATCCCTGGGGAATCAGACTAACTAAAGTCTCCTGGCAAACTTCCTTTGGCTCCTTTCAACATGACTTCTTGTCATTTTAACATTTCATTTGTAGATTTATTCAATTTAACTTATTAGCACTATTCTGTACCTCCTCCCTTTTAAGTAATAGTTTCCAAGTGTTAATTGTTCTACAGAACTGTAAACAGGTAAGATCCCCCAAAGGTTCTAAATTTCAGTAATCAAAATTACTGCAGTTCTGAAAATAACAACTCAGCACCCACATTTCATGAAAATGTTCTTCTCAAAACCTTATTTTTCCTTTTTCCAGTAAAATATTTAGCTATTCTATGCCATTAATTGAAATATTTTTTTGAAACTGAAGACACTTTTATTGACAAAGCTTAATTTAATATTCTTCACATTATTATGCAGTGATGATGCAATTTCCACCTTTCAAACTACTGCAACTTCAATTGAAGAATCCTGAATTAATGACATTAAAAGAATAACTGAAATTACTGTAGGATAGAGAGAATTCGTTATGCTTTTACTGAAGCAAATGAAATTTGCATTGCATTATTATGTCAGTGTGACTTCCTAATTTTATTCCTTTATTTCTGCCCAATATACATTTCTGCAGCACAGCAAGAAATGCCTTTGTTTTTCCTGGCACAGCTGACTAAAGCTATTGAGAGACATAACCATTTTCAGCAGAGCTTTAGCTTGTACTCCCATGTTCCCGTGTTGTGACACTTCTGGGAACAACCATGACATTTTGCTCAGATTGGAATCATTTTGCTTCTTTTAAGTACTGCTGAACTGTATGGTGATTTTTTTTTTTTCTTCATCTTAGTACAGCCATGCCAGACAGGGTCTTATTTATTATAGAGTAGCATTTCCCTTCCAGGCTACTTCCTGGGGTGATAATAGAACAGTTTTTCAAGTTAGCCATGAAAGTGCTGCATGATATTGAGAACAATTCAAATAATTGCTCAAAGACTTAGGATTCAGAATTGTATTTCAACTTCTCCCGAGGCTATGTAAGGAATAGAAGCCCCTTTCACTCCAGGGATGTGAAGCTGCTTGTATGGATTTACCTCAACAGACATCACTATTTTCATCAACAGCAATAACAAAGGACAGAGAGAGACACACACAGACAAATATTAGGAAGTCCCCTAAGTAGAGCTTTCAAATGCTGTATTTTCATCAGCTTTGTCTCTGTCTTGCTTTGATCTCTCTATTTCACACTGCAGAATTGTATCTCAAACATCCAAGGACAAAACTCCTACAGACGTGTGCAGCTGCAGCACTCTAGAAGAATCCCTTGCTTTTGAGCTTTTTGGTGATATCCACGTTTGCTCTCCAGCAAAGTAAATTCCTGGCAGAGAAGTGGTGCTATTTTTATTTTGCATAACAAACTTTGAGGGAAATTAAGTTAAATATTTTTTCTAACAGATAAGAGCCATGACCTAGAGCTCTGCTTTGTTCTCAGTCTTTCACAGTGGCCTAAAATAGTGTTTCACATTAGTAACAAGAGTTTTAAAATGCTCCATAGTCCTACTGCTGTAGCCATGAATATCTAAGGACATGAACAATAAAAGGCTATAGGTATAAGTAGTATATTTTCTTTGAATGGTTGCTAGAGTTTAAAAATAGTGGCCCTTCCTAATGTCTGAAAAATATACACACATTATAGTGACCAAAAAACCCACCCAAACTTTGTAATATGTGCTGAAGAATAACAGTGGGAAAGACAAAGGGCAGTATGACACAAATAAAGAATAAACTAAAGTGACTGAAGGCAATAAGAAGATGGCCACGACAAAGCCCCAGGATCCCACGGGGAGATCCCTGCTCTGGGGTCTCTTCATGGTCTCTCCAGCCATGGCAAGAGGTTCTGCACCAGAGTGGGATAGACAAACCCAGCCTGGAGCAGGACATGCAAGTGATAACAAGTGAGAGATACACATTTACCCAGGAAGGCCACAGGCCAGGTCCCACCAAATTCACTTGCACCCAGGCAGACAGGCATGCAGGAAGGGTTCCAGCAGCCATCTCCTTGAGCACAGCCCTGCAGGAGTTGGCCAGATGCATCCCTAGGGCTCTTACCTGGTCAGGAGAGACACCCCCTCAGGGTGAGTCAGAGGGTCTTGCAGGCAATCCCATACTGCCTGATGCATGAGCAGGTGCATCCACTTCTCTTCCATGCATTTTTCTAGAGCTAAAAGGATAGTCCTGGCAAAAGAAACAAAATGCTAAATAAACAGAAACCCAAAACATCCCAAATCAAAATAACAGCAACACCACTGCAGACCCAGAAAATCTCAAATCACAGCACATGAGGGAAGAACTTCTCTTTAGCAGAGCTAAATAACCCTGAAATAATGCTCATAGCCCTCAAGGCTGCATCTGATGACACTGGCCTTTTCTTGATGCACCAAACCCACTGAAGCCAAAGAAAACCCATGCCCCTGGACTGCCTCCATGCTACACACCAACCTAGGCAAGCAAGGCAGGCAAAGCACTCCCTCAGCCCCACAGAGACAGGTGCCTTGGCAAGGGGAACTGAAGCCAACCCCTCAGGTCTGCTCCCCTGGCTCCTTACCTGCACGGCTTCTGCTCAAGCACCTGGCCCTCAAGCAAAAGTTGTCTCCAGCTGCTCATGGCAGAAGGCAGCCTCTCCTCACCCACTGTTTCACTGGCCCACCTCAGGAGGCTGGGGAGGATGTGGGGAAGCAGTTGCCTGAGCTGCTCAGTGCTGCTCATGACAAACACCACCTTGGAGATGGCATGGGTGATCTGCAGAGAAACATGACCAAGAGCCACTTGTTCAGGCAAGGCCTTTTCCACCAGCCTGGTTACCCTGCCTGGCTGGGGCTGGGGGGTTACTGTCTGCAATGGTCACTTCTGCAACAGCTTTGTGGCTCATGTCGTGGTTTAGACCCAGCCAGACAGCTCGTTCACTCCCTCTCCCCCCTTTTCCTCCCTCTTTCTTTCCTTTCCCCCCCACACTTCCCCCCTCTCCTGGAGGGATGGGGAGGAGAATCGAAAGAGTGCAACTCCCACGGGTTGAGACAAGAACAGTCCAGCAACCAATGTACAACACAAATCACCACTGCTACCACCACCGACAGCAATGATAAGAGAAAATAACAAGGGAAGAGAATATGATACCACCCGCCGAAAAAACGAGCCTGACCCAGAAGACCCCGTGTCCTTCCGGGTAACTCCCAGTTACCCCCCTGGGCATGACGTGCTGTGGTATGGAATACCTCTTTGGCTAGCTTGAGTCAGGTGTCCTGTCTCTGCTTCCTCCTGGCTTCCCCTCCTCCCTGGCAGAGCATGAGGCTCACAAAGTCCTTGGTCAGGGTAAACATCACTTAGCAACAACTAAAAACATCGGTGTTATCAGCACTGTTCCCAGGCTGAAAGTCAAAACAGAGCGCTGCACCAGCTACCAAGAAGGAGAAAAATTGACTGCTACTGCTAAACCCAGGACAGCTTAGAAACACAACCCTCTCCTGGCTCCCCACTCTCCTTGAGGCCAGCCAGCACAGTGCTCTGGGAGTCTCCAGGAACACCCATCAAGGGCACCTGACTCCCTCATACCGAAGCAGGACAGAGAGCAGATGCAAACTCACAGAAGGTTTCTGCTGTTGCACGTATCGCCAGAGTCCCCAGAGCAGTCTCCCGGCTGTGCTGCTCACAAATGGAAAAGCCAGACCCTGGGCAGTTGTTTCCTGCTCTGTTTAGTTTCTCCACTAAGCACCTCAGGATCTTGATCCCACAGGTGCTTCTCCCCAGGCTCCTCCACAGCTCCATCATGCTGCTGCAAGGGAAGAGACATTCACCCCTGAGCCCATGTCCTGCAGTGTCCTCAGACCTCCTCAGCTGTGATGGGGCTCACAACGCCCCACTCACATCTGAGACACAAGCATGCTGTTCTGCAGCCCTCCAGACTGGTCAGGCAGAAAAGACAGACCTGCATCTCCACTGAATGCCTCCTCATGCAAGTAAGCTGCAGGGTCTCTGACAACAGTGAGAAAGTGGGTAGTGCACATACCTGTCCGTAAGGTGAGCGGCTTGAAGAAGACAGCTGAACACAGCTTCACAATGACAGATGGCACAAAATACCTGTGGAAGCCCTCTGCCTGTAGGTGTACAGGGTGCTCAGGAATTCTGGCACCTGAATAGAACAAGAGGAGAAAGGAGGGCTCAGCGCATCCGTTACCCCGTCCTGCAGGGCCCAGACACAGACATTCAAAACGTAAGCAATGCCTGCTCCCTTGACACACAGTCCAGCTCCAGCTCAAAGCCTTACACCACAAAGGGTGTAGTGCAACAGCCAACAGGAGAAAATACCAATGGAAAAAAGATCTCTTTTTACCTCTCCGAGTATGTCCTTTCCACGTTCCTTCAGGAAAACAAACACCCATTTTCATGACATTGACATCTCTGGGGCTGTGGTGACATGCAGTGGGCTGTCCAAGATGGCTCTCAGGAAATCCACAGCCTGTGCTGAAGGGATGCATTTGCAAACAGCCTGGAGAGAAGTCAGGAATGGGAGAGACTGCGTCACAGCTCTGCTCCACCAGTTCAGAAAGGCAACTTGATCGACAGTTTGGAAGTTGTGTTGGGGGAAATCCCCTGACCCTCCCTCTCTGCTGACACTGCTGTTCACATCTGATGCAGCTAACCCATTCAGAAGTGTCTCCCCTGAAATGTCTTTTGCTTGCAAGCAAGAGCTGCTCTGGACAGCAAGAGACTTGGGAGGAGAGCAGGAGGATATGCAGGAGACCAGAAGCTGGGCTTTTTTGGGGCCAGTTACCTTTGTTATTTTGATACTGCTTTTCACCAGATTGTCAGGGTCTGGGCTGTCCAGCTCCTCACAAAGCCACCTGATCTCATGAGCCTCCAGTATCACTGGCACAGTGTTGTCTGGAACAAACACCAGAAGAAAACAGGAGTCATAGCTACAGAAACCCAATCTCTGGCCAAGGATCCTGTACAGGGGGAGGCAAGCAGTGGCAGGGAATGCCACAGGGAAACACAGGGCCCTCCTGAAGTCAGCATCATAGGAATTCCCAAGCCCAGGAAACAGCTGACAAATCCTGCCTTCCTGAGCCCGCTTTCTCCTTGAACTCTTTGCTGAGGCTTTGGTGTTTCAGCAGCCTCTTCTCCCAGCAGCTGCATCCCCTACTCCCACACAGGCCACCATCACCTCTCGGAGGCAGTAAACCTCCCAACAACTTCCTCAGCACAGGCAGACTCTTCTGCCTGAAGAGAAAAGGCTTCAAACGCAACTCTTTGCAGCACACTGTGGGCCTGCAGCCCAGATGTCTCCTCCCTGGCCTGTTTGCTCTGGGCAGCAAACTGGTTTCTTCTCTTGTCCTCTGCAGGAAGTCACCCCCGGGCAGGGATGACTTTGGAGACTGCCTGGATTGTGTCTGCCTGTCCCTCCATGCTCAGGGCAGGGAGCAAGGGGTAAAGCAGCCTCTGAAATATTGCGGATGTCATCCAAGCCGGTTGCCTGACCACAGGAGTTGTCCCACCTGGGACATTGAAGGGGGTACAGATGTGGAGGGGGACAGGACTGGGGGCTGCACACTGCCAGCAGGTTTTGATTTTCTTCCCTGCTCAGAGGTAGCCTCAGCTTGCTGGATAGAGGGAAAAGAAAAACAGAAAGGGAATTTACTGGCCTGTCCAGAGCAGCTTAAACCACAGCTGGGTTCCTATCAGTGGAGGATCCCAAATCCAGCAAGCCCAACCCATGCCAGCAAACACTGCCTTCAGCTTCAGAATGCCTTCCTTATCTCCAGGAGCAGGCAAAGTCCCACTCCCAGGTTAAGGAACCCCTTGGGCTTCCTTCCTCTGGGAGATACCTGACATGGGGAACACCCTCCCACTTCTCAGCCACAGCCACAGCTCCTGGCCCTGTGCTCAAGGCCATGGGGGCTGCCGCTTCACCTGAGATGTGGCACACAGGGAGCCCCCAGAGCCTGGGGAGCAGACGTCACCTCAACTTCTCCAGAGCCTGAAACACTCCACAGAGCACAGAGTCCTAGAGCTCCCTCTTTATCCAGTCCTGCAAGGCCCAGAGAGACAATTGCAGCATTGACAGTGGACAGGGACATGGGACAACTCTTCCACTTTCCCTGGGGACAGAGTCTTGTGCCAGGCCTGGGTAGAGACTGCCCCGTCACCCCCACGGATCCCCAAGGACACTGTGGGAGGGACACTACTCCTCAGCCACAGCCACCCAGCACCAGCACCATCTCGAGACACGGCTACAGGAGCTCACATGAAGCCAGGAGACCATCTGGGGCTCTGGGGAAACCAGGCTGATTGCACAGGAGCCCAAAAGTTCCTTGTCTGACTGCCTCAGCTACAGTCACTCACCAGCAGGGTCCACATCGCCTACTACTTTGAGGAGAGTTTAAAGGTGCCACAGTTGCCCACAGCCTGGATGGCACAGCAGACCTCAGTGATGCTCTGCACCAGGGCAAGCTTGAGCTGCATGCCCTGAGTGAAGCAAAGGAAAGCAAAGGACCCCTTGAACTCTTATAGGACTGCGAGGTAGAAGAGTGTGGGCAGGTGGAGCCCACAGCGAGGTTGGACCTGGGTGGGGAGGACAAACCCTTCCTTGGGAGAGCTTTACAAAGATACCTTTGTCCATCTCGGTACACCCCAGCCCCAAGGGGTTGGAACTGCTGGGGCACCCAGGCATCCCTGCCCCATGCACCCCATGCTCCTACCCTCTGTGTAGCTCTGGAGAGCCGCAGGATGTCCCCCAGGGTTTCTTTATACACAAGGGAGGGCAGCTGCTCCTTGGGGGCATGCTGAGCAATCACACTGTAGGTACGGATGAGAGCAGCAAAAGGGGCTGCGCTATCTCCATCCTCTGCTGCTGTTGTGCCTGTGTTGACAGAGATTCCCCAAGACACTGGCCCCAGGATTCGTGTGGGCTCCTGTGGCAGGCCCTGCCCCACAGCCTCCCCAACTCCTTGTTTCCCTGGGCAGCTCCAAGCAGCTCCCCAAGGCGCTCCTTGAGCTGTGTGTGAGCTCTGGGGCTGGGAGCTGTTCCATCCTACAGTTTGGCTTCTTGCATGGGCATGGGAATGAGGTACAGACAGCAGTATCAACACTGCTGGCCCTCCCCAGGCCAGGCTGCAATGCTCACTTGGCAGGGCCCTGCCTTGACATCCCCTCTGGAATGCAGGGCTCCATTGGGTAGCTTTTAGGAGACTGCTGAGCTAAAGGCAGCTGCCATAGGCTGGCTCCTGCAGGTGTAAAAATGGAAATAAGGCCAAAGAAAAAGAGAGTCAAACAGCAAAGCCCTCACCTATGGATCCTTTACCTTCGAGCCCATAAAAGTCTGACCGAAATAGAGTCTGATGAAATTGTCAGAATATATAGTCAGCATGTCCAGGACCAGACGGAAGGGGCTCTCGGCAGCATGCGACACTACAGAAATTATTGCCTGCAACCCCAAAGAAACATGGAGTCGGATCCAGACCAGGCACTCAGTTGTGGCCAGTGACAACAGTCAGACAGGAGGTTGCAACAAGGGATAAAAGGCAGCAAGGGGGAAAACCAGGAGGTCTGGAGCAGCCCTCCCTCTCCCTCAGGAGCAGGCAGGGGATGCTCAGGACAGAAGCATCACCTCACCTGGGGCTCAGACACAGAGTCGTTTGCCTGCAGGAAGTTCACACCTGCCCTTGGATGTGCTAGATGTTCTGACAAGCTGCCAGCACTGTGCCAAGAACCTTGTACAGGAACAGCTGAAAGAGATGAGGCTGAGCCCAAGATGCGGCCATGGCCCGACCTGTCAGCAGAGGGATGGCTGCACGTGGACCCAGCTGAGTCCAGCCACAGTGCCAGGCTGTAGCCAGGCTGTAGCTTGGCCAGCCCTGGGGAAAATGTGCCTGCTGGGGGCAAAGGAAGGGGAAGCAGTGGAAACTGCCCTTGTGGGCAGAGCCCCAGCCCCAGCCCCAGCCCAGGAGAGGACACACACCTTCTCCCAGGAGCCAGGGACAGAGCTGCCCAGCTGCTGGCTCAGCTCCTGGCTCAGGTCCACAGTCCAGGCCTTGTCCTCGATGGGCTCCAGTGACACTTGCAGGAACTGAGGGGAACACGAGGGGAAGTCAGTGAGTGCTCCTCTGCCTTTGGCCAGAGCCCTTTCCACACTTGCATGTCCAGCGATGCTGCTAGGGAAAAGCTGTGAGGAAAGTCAGCCTCTGGCGCCAACCAAACAACCACCCAACCAAACAACCACCCAACCAACCCATACTCTTTTTACCAGCTTCCCTCTTCTCCCATTATCTCTGGCAAGGGTGAAACCTCCTGGTGTGCCACACAAGAAGGAGGAGGCAGTGCTAAGGCACGTGGCACAGCGTGAGAGGACATTAGCCACCACCCACGACACGTGTGCGGGGCAGCAGCTCCTCTGAGTGGGCAGGAATCTAGTGTGGGGGGAGGCACAGGGTGCTCAGGAGGTGCCCCCACTTCCTGGTTTGTACACTGAGCTTCTTCCCATGCCTTTGCTCCCTCTTCCTACCCTCTCTATGTGACAACCCGCAAGGGTGCTGTACCTTAAGCACACAGTGTTCCCACTCTGCAGAGCCCAGAGAGCTCTCCTTATTTCCTAAAAAACAAGAGGAAGCAAAACCTCTCACTGCTATTTAAGCTCACACCACAGATGAGCCTGCTGTCTGCATCCTGCCTGTCTGCCGTCTCCTCTGAAGTCTGAATTTCCCAAAGCCCCAGATCATCAGGCCAGAAAGGGCCAACAGGCACCTACGTCAAAGCCCTTGTGAGGCCAAAGACACAGGAGGGATCCCGGGGCACGCGTCAGTGACTGATGTGAGCTGGGCAAGGATGCCCTGAATGCAGCTGATCCTCACTGCTTGCCTGCAGCTCCCAAAACAACTCCCACCACCAAGTCACAGCATGCCCCAAGCAACCCATGCTTCCTCCTTCATGAGCCCCTGCTTTCTACACATTTGTAGCCCTTCTCCCAGGCTACTGCCAAGGACATTGCTGCAAGCCTGGCCTAGCCTGGGGACTCACTCCTCCAAAGCCCAGGCTTTCACCTCCTCTAGGAGCACCCTGTCCCAAAGGCCACCCCAGCCAGGACACGAGGGTGCCACCAAGACCTGCCAAGCATGGGGACCTTTCTGGCCCCATTCATGCCCTGGGCCCAATAGACGCTGGGTAATGGCTGCTCCTGGCAAGTGCTAGGATACAGGGGATGATTCCCCTCCATCATGCTGGGAAGCTGCATTTCCTGGCCCTGCTCCCTCCCCTCAAGCCTCTCCCTTCCCACCCACACCTTACCTGCCAGGTACTGCAGCAGGAGGGGGATCTTGGTCACCCACACTGCCCCAAGGGCCCTGTGGATCCTGCCCTGGAGGGCCTGAAGCAGCTGCAAGGCAGCGACTGCACAATCGCTGCTCATGTGAGGAGCTGCTGCTATCACCTAGGAGAGGGTAGGGGAGAAGTTTTGCTCCTGCCTCCCAGCCACAGGAGGGAGGAAGGGAGCTCAGGAGAGAGCTCAGCACCACTTGGCCAGCAGCAGGCAGTCAATGGCATCAGCCAGGGCACTGTCAGCCCCGAGAAAGGAGAGCAATCCCCAATGGGCTCAGGCAGGCTCAGGCTTGCTGCCTCCTCCTTGGGGAACCCCTGGGCACTGGCCTCAATGGCATCTCTGCCTTGGGCTCTCCCACCACCCCTGGCCAGAAAGCTCATGCCCCATGGCCCCGCTATTCACCACCAGTCAAGCCAGCAGAGCCTGGGGAGCTGGCAGCTGGGCTGTGGGGAGGAAGAAAGGCTGGGTGAGCCAACGAGCCCCTGCTGTGCCCAGCCCTCTGATGCTCCTGCAACGGCCCGAGAGCAGCTGCACTGCCACAGCGCTGGCCTGAGGGCTCCCAGGGCTGCCCAGCATGAGATGAAGCAGCTCCAGCATGGCCAGGAACAAACTCTGGCTCACCAAGAGACTGCTGCCAGCAAGAGTGCCAGCCTGCTGTGCCAGGCAAAGGGCAATGCAGGGCAGAACCCTCACACTTGGCAGCAGAGCCCAGCTCTGCCCTTTCATTTTCGCTGCTCCTGCTCAGGGCTGGCAGGCTGCAGGGAGACATGGACTGGCCCAACACCTGCCCTAACTCAGAAGCATGCACTGGGGCTCCCACCTTGCTCCCGGGAGTCCATGGCATCAGGCTCCTCCTCTTCTTCCCTGAACCCTGCTCTCTCCTTTCTCGCAACCAAGGTTTGGAGACACTGTGAGAGCGGGATCAGCATGCTGCTGTAGTGGGCTGGCACCACAAACTGCAGCGGCCTATGCCACAGGAGCTGCAAAAAGAACCTGGCCATGCCCCACATCAGCATTACCAAGCAGCGCACAGGAGGAGAAAAGGAAGGTCCGCATCTCCATGAGCCATGTGTGCTTCAGCAGCCCTCTTGAGTTTCGGGAAAGGTTCAGGGCATGGGGAAGCATGAGGAGCAGTGTCCTGAAGGCACAAAGTAGCCACATCAGCAGGGAGGAGAGCAACTTACTTTGGTCATCCCTCTCAGAGAGACATCCAGAGAGCTCACAAT